AAGCATTACAAATCACCAGGCTGCTGTTGTCAATTATTTCCTTTTTTACTTATTCCATTGTTTACAGTTTTTCTTCTCTCCTCTAATGGACTGATGGATCAACTTACAATTTTAATTTCAAAATAAATATTCTCTTGAGTTCAAAATCTTCATTTGAGGAACTATTTTCAAGATGATAATATGTAATCTACTAACAGGTGTTTTCTTACTGTTATGTTTTTTTGTTTGTTTGTTTTTTGTTTTGTTTTGTTTTTTTTTGTAGTTCTGTATTACGTGTACCCTTACACTGCTTTGGTTTGTTTTGTGTTTTTCTCTTTTTCCTCTTAAATAAAAAAAAAAAAAAATCTTCACCAACAAAAGATGACTGATTTTCTCTGCTTGCCTGACTCACCAAAGGTCTCCAATACAGTTCTTTCTACTGGCCTCTCGACTTGCCTCCATGAAAAACGAAGAAATCAAGTACCATAAAACAGACACAGTAAATTATACCATTCTCAGAGCCTTCAGTTACTGAGGGCAATGGCATCACACACGCACATTTCCCAAACTTCACCCTTGACAATCAATCACGTCTTCTTCTTTCTAACTTCAAAGTATCCATCATTGCCTATATTCCATTCATTCACGTGCTGCCCAGGACATGCATCGATATCACTTCTCTAAGGTATTTCCCTGACCCACAGACAAAGTTATCTACCTTTTTTTACCACTCAAATTACTTTGCCCTCCCTTGCAATGTTTACGTGTCTTTAAATCTAAAATTAGTTTACTCTATTTGTCTTCCTCAGGAAAAGATAAAATATATGAGAATAGGAATTATTTCTGAGGCAATAATTATTAGCACTTAATAAAACCCGTGAACAGATATCTCAATAAATAATTATGTATAATTAACCAATTATGAAGTCTAACATTCACAAGTATAAGTATTGAAACTTTGGAAGTCATGGATCTTATATATTTCAGATATACTTTTCCTAAGTGCATCTTCCAAAACGTATTTATCCGTGAGATACTTCTAAACAGGGAATCATTGCATCTCATGTTTCAGAAAGCACTAATAACCATAGCTTAACTACAAAAACTATGCTTACATGATAGATGGTACATTTAAATGTAAATCATAGCCAGAATTTGCTGAAATGCACATAACAGCATATAATTATTTATAATGTTTCTCATGCATACTTTTCTAGATCATATTCATCCTATATTTACCATTCATTTGCTATACAATATTTACATCTCTATACACATCGTATCTCATTGCATATGTAACAGGTGCATGTGCTTTGGAACTTGACAGATGGATTTGAAATGCAAGAACTGATGGTATTGAAATGGCCCCTGTGGGGTAGCAGTGGATGGAGATAAAAGACACATTAGTGACTATGTGCAAAATTACACTTAGATAATAGTCAAGAAAAACAAATTCTGGTGTTCTGTTACATGGTGAGATGAATATAGTTAATAACGATTATTTTAAGTTTAAAATAGAGCAGAAAATATGAATAGTTTTCACAACAAAAAGATAAATATTGAGCTTATTTATGTAGCAAATACCCTAATTTGATAACTTTGCAGTGCACATGTCTATGATATTGTAACATTATACTTCAAAAAGTGTGAAATTATTGAGAATAATAAAACAAATCTCAAAAATATTTAAAAACTTTAAAGAGGTTATCTCTTTGGAAAATACTAACAGCCCTTTTTAACCATTTCAGATAACAATAATAAATATAATGAATTTTATACAAAAAATAAAGTGTAATAGACATACTAGAAATGTATTACTTGTTTTACACCTCAGCATAATGAAACTTTCCAGGTTAGTACTATCTAAAGGTTGCTAAGATCTAAAGTATAACTTTCACTTACAGAACACTAATCATTAAACAAATGTACATTTCACATACAATATAGAGTGATTGTATAATCATGATTGAAGGAAACTCAAGCATCAGTCTCCAAAGTAACTTGTTCAGATAGTAAAATAAGCATTTGTAAAGCTTAAATACAAACATAAATAAGTCGAATTTGTAGGCATAAACCAGTGCTTCACTGTGTCTCTCATGACATTAAAAATATTTGCAACATAATACATCTGCCATTTGGGGTGAGAAATTTAATTCAAGATAGATTATATTAATACATACACATTGCATCTTTGGAATCTAGAGCTATAAGCTGTTTTATATAATTCACATTTACATTTGAAAGTGATGATGGATACTGGGTCTTGCCTATATGCCCAGAAAAGTTTAGGTTCATTCACTTGCTTCAGAGGGATGACTAATATCATATGATTTTTTAAAATATAAAATTGTGATTCTGCCTTTTGCCCTTAATTTAATATTACAGGCTTAAAAACAGATTTAATTCCTTTGTTTAAATGAACACACATATCTTTACTACATGTATCTTAAAGATAAAATATGGTACTTAAGATCCCTTCTTTATTTCTAATGGAAGTGCTAATAGGTATCTTTTGAAATTACTTCCCTGTCCTTAAAAATCCTATGTGAGTCAGAAGTCAGATGAGTAAGAGCTCTCAGGGGCAGTGTGCTAGGATCTTGTTTTAAAAACTTATTAAATCAAACTTTGAAAAGTGAAGCATACATTATGTGCTATCTGGTTTTAAAGCTTGGTTCTACCATATGCTTGTATCATTTCAGCTCTGTGCCCCAATTTCTTCCTCTTTAAAAAGGAGAAATTCTAAGTCATTTGTAGGAAACTATTGTAAGGGTCAGAGATACTGAGCTATGCACAAGGACAAAAATATACTGTTAGATTTATTTTAAAATTCAAGTCTATCTGAACACAAATCTCAGAAGTCTTCAGGTCATCCTGCCTCGTAAAAGATGAGAAGAGGCAAGGAGACTAGAATGGAGGGAAGGATTACACAGAGGAAAAGTAACAAGGGAAAGAGGGGACATGGGTCATTGGCATATGCATGGTTTTTTGAACACTGTCAGAGGTCATTCTAATGCAAATTCCACTTCAAATTTACAGATAATGACATTAAAGAATGAATGTGCCAAGTGTCTGGTGAAACTTAAAACATTAAAAGTAACAGTGTCCACAATTAAATATTCTCCAAATCTCTAAGTAAATTAGTGAAGTACAATTGTTGGTTTGTTATTCTATACTTTCCTCTACTCTTCTCTGGTGATGACTAGTGTCTTTACAATTAGTAATACCAGGGCCAGGGAGTTAGCTCAGCAGCACAAGCGCTGCCAGGCAGGCACAAGGTTGTGAGTTTGATCCCCAGTGCCTCCCCTTAAAAAAGTACTATGATTAACAAGCCTGGAGAATTAGTGAATGCTTCAATGTTTAATGTTAGAATTCTTTGGTAAAATTTTTGAGAGTTATAATATAGAGAAAACATATGTTAGAAAAAAAGAGGACTGCTAAGCTCAGTTTCCTTGCGGAAAGATCAAAGGAAAGCGAATGGGAAGATACTCAGAACATTTATCAGCCCTGTTTTGAGCGGCTGTGCCATGCTCTTGAATCAATGACTTATCACGAGATAAGCTCCTGACATTTTCAAAAATAGAAGTGAGACAAGGATAGGCAACAAACAGAAATAATTCACTGGTAAAATTTAGTTTTTCTTCTAAGAGTCTCCATTATACCTTTTCAATTTATCATCTTTGACTACTTATTTTAATCATACGTGGAAATAAACTGAGTAACTAAAATAAATATTTTCCATATGCTTAGTGAAAAATGTTATCTTGAATCATCAAAACATGATTACCTACTAATAAATTATAGACAAATACAAAGTTAAATTATGTGCATCCCTATTCAAAACAAGCTAGAATAATAACTTAATTTGAATATAAAATTTATTTTCAATTATTACAGCTCTGTACCTTAAAGCTGTCTCTGTTAAACATTAATGCATTGCAAGTTCTAATTATTCTTCATAAATGTTCATTTATTTGACAGTCGCTGGGTAAACTTTTTCTGCTATGCACTATTTTAAATGCAAAAGATAGTTGAGTTAAAACAAACATAAACAAATAAAATCACCTAGGTGATTAGGTGGTAATAGGTCTTATAGAGCATTAAAAAACAAACATAAACAAATAAAATCACCTAGGTGATTAGGTGGTAATAGGTCTTATAGAGCATTAAAAAACTAAAGAGTCTAAGGAAACTTGGCAGACTTTTCAGTTTTACATAGTTAAGAAAAGCCTACAAGAGTATGTGACAGTTGTCATGTATTTGCAAGTACAGACTAGTTTTGATGAGGGAGTGGTAGCACCTGACACGCTTTAACAGGTTGCTGCTGGTTGCTGTGTGGAGATAATACTAAGTTGCCAAGGACAAGCAGGATGAAGTGTTGGGAGTGCAGGCAGGAGAGGTCATGGGCATTTGCCAGTCTGGAGACCTTTGATGGTATTATCAAGAAGATGGATTGCTTGTGGGGTGTGAGTGTCAGAGATGAAGCTTGTTTCCTCCAAGTCTTTGGCCTCAGCAATTATAAGGATGTAGTTAGTTGTCACATACTTACTTGGAGGATTCTGTGGAAAATTATTGGCAGAGGACTAAGTGCTCAGTTGTAAATGTGCTAACTCTGAGATACCTGAGAAAGAACCAGATGAATAGACAGACAGACAGATCGGGACAGGATTATTTTAGAGCTTGGGGGAAAAGGAAAGGTGCATTCATTAAGTTTATACATCATCAATAAGTACATGGTATTTACACTCTGTGGCTCAGTATGCTAAAGTTCTAGAAATGGAAAAAAATTCTGAAGACTGACGTGACAATCTATAGGTAGTAAATAAGATGATGAGGAGTCACTAGACAAAAAAGAAAAAAGCTAATGACATTCTCTGTAAGTTAGTATAGGAACTTAAGCATACACATTCATAATATACACATTATATGAATATATAATTCAAATGAAATTCAAATGACTTTTAGACAGGAAGGTGTGATTTACACTACCGGTATACTGACATACAAAATTAAAATGCACCTACAGATTTAGCCATGTATCTCCTCTGCTTTATTGAGACTTCAGCAGGTTTCAGTTCAGAGTCCTGACAGAGGATTAGCTGCAGACAGAATGAGAAGAGAAAGGAGGACACAGCAGGAACACTCCAGTAAGGCAGTGGTAAAAAGGGGCAGAGCCGGGGAATAGTTTGGGATTATTGTTGTCTATCTGCATGAATTTGTACATATGAGTGTCTGTTTAAGTAATAGAATAGGATTCATGTATTTTTTTATTGTCAGAAATTATCACTACAATATTTTGAGTCTGCTTAGTCTATCTTAAATTTTGAGTTGCACTGTCTGGACAAAAAGGAAATTTTCTGCAAAAGCAAATTTAACTAGATACATGAGGTCTACTCAAAATACTGGAAAATATTCCACCTAAAGTAAGCATTACAACAAATCATATCAATGGATAATCAAATATCAAGCAATAAAATTTAAATTCTGTGCTGGTTGTAAAAAGACTCATCCTTTAACTTTTCTTAAGTACACACACACACACACACACACACACACACACACACACACACATATATATATTTCGCATATTTTAGGATGATTATTAAAAATTCCGAAAAAGTAATTTTGTTTCAATTGTAGATTGTGGTCCAGGCATTATTCTGAGCTTTCCTTGTATATTACTATTGCTCTTCATTGTAAGATTTAGAAAAGTTTTATTAGGGTACACACTAAATGAATATATGTTAGAATGCTAGGGATCAGCAACTGTCTTTCCTAACCTTTGATATACAGGAGGGACTCAGAAAGAATTGAGTCCAGCTATGCTTAATGCCAAAGTTCATTGTTTTCACTTAGCTCATCATATTTCATAACACAGCAAGTACTGAAAGATTTGAACAAAGTTTTAAACAACACTTCTTTTATATACTGGGTTCATCCAAATGAAAAAAAAAATTGCATTTTTATCCCATCCTACTACTTAGCTATTATGTTGTTTTAAAAAATTAAAATTTTTATGTTTCACATTTAAAAGACTAAAACTTGGAAGAAAAATGTATAAATTGATCCATTTTTTGCTTAACCCTGCCACTACTACTGTAAATCAATATCACAAATAACATTATAAAGTATATAATTTTAAAATAAAACAATAAAATAACAATTATAAAATAACAACACAACACAAACTTATTTTTTCTGCAAAATCAGATGTGAGTACACCAAACTGAATGCCACACACGTGAGTGCAGGAACCGTGTCCAGGAATCCAGTTAATCCCTGTTGAGCCTACTGAGCTTCTGTTAGGTTTTACCACTCAGAGGCAAATACAAGTTCTCAGGCTCAAAGACGAGCTTCCCAAGAAAAATTCTCATCGCTAAAGAAGAATGCCTGGCTGAATGCATAATTTTCTCAATTTAATCAATACTCAGATTTGTAAGGTTACCCTCTTATCTTCAAATAAATTCTCAAAAGCAGAAAATCTAAATGCAGATGAGAAATCATTAAAAACCAATTTGCTTTTTATTACTCCAAAGTGAAAATCTGTGACTTATTTTCTGTTCATTCCATCTTCTCCTGATTCAATAAATGCTTTTCTCCTCAGTCCTGAACTCTTATGGTGAATTATTGTAAATATTGGCAATTTCTGGATGAGAAAGTTAGGTTTTAGATTTAAATAAAACTTTTTTAAAAATCCAAGTAATTTGCTGATGCAATAAACAGAAATAAATTATATCATGAATAAAATTCATATATCAAAATTCTGTTTTATATTTGGCTCCAGTAGAATTATAGAAAAAGTATGCTGTTTAAAATTATATATAAGGAAGTGGATTTGCGTCTCATACTTATTAACCACATAAACTTATGAAATGTCTCAAACTTTCTTTTATATCTGAAAATAAACATTATGCAATTGTCCATAATGTTATAATTAATAAACATGAAACTACATATATAGTCTTCTTGGAAATTTAAAGTAGTGAGCAATTTATTTTCATTTTCTCTAGAAGCTCAACTAGAGAATGGTTATGTGGGATAAATGATTAAATTTTATTTTTAAGGTAAAAACAAAAACTTGTTTAAAATTTCTGCATGGTAACACAAATTATTCTTTTTATATTAAAAATATTAATCTTTTTCATAAGTTAAACTAGTATTTTTATTTCATACTTGTAAGAAAAAATGTTTAGAATATTACCCATGAGTACATATATCTATTTTTACATACATTATATGTAAATATATATTATACATATATTCATATTTTAATTTTCTAACCCAAGATGTGTATATTTTTTCATTGCTTAGTGACACATTTGTTAATACGACTATAGATTGGTACCATATATTTGAGTAGCCCAAACATATAATGCCTAAATTTTGTGATATATACATAATAATGCTATTAGTGACATCTTTGCCTTTTGCTCCCTCTTTTCTGTAAACATTATTAAAACTCCATGATAATATTTATATTTATTGAAGTGCTTTAAGAACAGATCTAAAGGTAATTATCATGTAGACTGAGATATCAGTCAGTAAGAATTTTATTTCTGGACATTAGTCAACAGGGTCAGGAAAACCAGAACCTACTTGTTAGTCATCATGTAATTAATTTAAAGTGGGTATAAAAGAGGCAGCGAACACTTTCTCCTTAAACCGTGAATAAACTATCTCTGCCTTCATCTTAAAATTAAAATTAAAAACGAACAATTCATTTTACGCAGGGCTGTCAGCATTTACCCAAGTGGTCATTAATGTTGGAGTTAAATTAGAAAAATTTAAGTAAATAAATAAACAAATGAAACTCACCTTATCCACAATACATATCTGTTTCCTGGTTTGAGCATCAAGTATTTCAATCTCAAAGTGAGCAGTTTTTGCATGTTTGAGGACTGGAGATCTTAGAGGGCATGCTGAGAGTACAAACCGCGACAGAGTGTGAAAACTTCTCAGGTCATCGCTCACTGAGGACCTTGCAAATCCTTGAAAGAATGATTCTCTTTTGCGTTCTGAGTGAAGGAAATTTTGCCTTTTGAACATTGTGCAAACTGGATGGAGAATCTATCCTGTAAACAGACTGGTTAGTCAAGTGCCATGCCATCCCGACAGTCCGGTTTTATTTAGCAGGCTTGAAAACAACGCTGATCTTATTTCTATATATAGCACTATTGAGAAGTCTGTGGTGTGGCGTATTGTTTTACCAGCATCTGAATTATTTCCCCCTTTTATCTCTGATTCTTAATATAGCCACTCTTATCTGAAATTCCAAAACAAAGAAAGAATAGATAGCTCTTGGTATCTCTAAATTCTGGATGCACACATATTCAAACACAGCACACGATTACATGCACATTGAAATTTAGATATATTTAAGTTTAGCAGAGTTATGTACTTCTCATTACAAAAAGTCTATTATTTAACATATTGTCAGTGCGAATTAGAAATTACTGGCAGATGTAAATCATATATATTTGATAGACATATGTATTATTAAAGCTCCAAATAAACATCATTCAGTGCTATACATGTAAAATAGCTTAAGAAGGTAATTTATATAGCATGATATAGTAAATTCTTCATATAAAGAAGTAAAATATGGCAAGCTTTAAGATTCTCTATGCATAGAACTATGTCATGACTTGGAAAACAGGAGATAAGTTTTATATTAACATTTTTACACATTGAGGTCTATAAAATCATTGAAACCATATACAATATACACTATAAAACTAATTTCCATAACACTAAGTTATGGCAAATACAGATAGTCTCAGAATGAATAATGAAATGTAACACAATTTGGAAAGGGATTTTAGAAAGAGATTGGCTATACAGTTGGACATGGATATAAGGAGAACAAACAATTGAAAAATATGCTGCTGTAATTTGAAAAGGTATAAATAAAAAATAGTCTAGAATATTACTATAAAGTATAAATAAAAAATAAATCTATGAAGAGAGATTTTCTGTTGCCTGTGTGAAGCTAGTTTTTTTCCTTTTATAAATAAATATAATACTATAGATTTTATTCTTACCTGACATTATGCACTTGAGATGTACACCATTAACATTTTATGCTCCACAGCACTACACACAAAATTAATCATATTCAAGAACAAACAAACGAGTTATTTATGTTTTAATGCGTGTCAGTTTTAAAACATACATTGAATTAGTATAGTAGATGAGATTAGAGAGAAAACAGGGTACAGAACAATACAAAGCTTTGCAGGTCTTTGTGAAACACAAGAAACTTCTGTAGTATGTTGAACAGATTATGAAACTGTCTTCTAGAATACAAAGCAAGATCATTCAAGCTATTGTCTTTAAAAAAATCACTGTAGACAGGCTAAACTTGAAGCAGGAAGACCTGTTTGCAGAGGCAGTAAAGGTGAAACTGATGTTTAAATGGTAGCTACATGGATGGCAGATGGATTGCATTCCAGATTCCAAGTAACTTAGATATGAAACATAGGTTTTATGATCCCAAGGTAACAACAGAGGGAGAGGATATACAACACAGGTTTATTTATAAATAAATAAAGGGACACGTTTTCTTACACAACTCCAAGTAATATACGTATATGATCTCAAGAGAAGTTTGCATTTAGTCACAGATTTAATATAAATAATAAATGAGAAGTAATTAAGATAAAAACTTTCATATGGTAGAATAATGGCAGACTGAGCATGACTTACCCATGTGACTAAGCCAATGTCACTATGAGAAATCATTTTGCTATTGTGTAGCCACTATTCCAGAGAAAAAAAAGGTTGCCTTACTTCCCGGTAGCTCTCAAAACTTATTTTTGGTCTACCCATGAAGACATATGAGAGACAAATTCAGGGACATTCGATGAAGGACCTGAAGAGTACTCTTCAAAAGTGCCAAGAATATGAAAATTAAAGAATAATTAGGGACCTGAGACAAATCAGAAAACTGAGTTACATCTCAGATAGAGATGTAACAGCAAAAGAAAATGTGTTATTCTGAATTATTTCCTAGAGTTATACCAGCCAAAGGACATGAGAAGAAACCTGGTGAAATGGAAACATCTGCAGTTAATTTACCAGCCCTTCATCCCAAATAATTATGAGTTTCCATAATTGGATCTAGTTAAGAAAAGTTGACTAAAAAATAAAAGCCCCCGAATGAATCATTTTACTTTCATTTCAAAATTTGACTGTTAGATAATTCCAAAATGAAACTTGCAAAGCAAATATTGACCCACTAAAATAATAATATGAAAAAGAATATAAAAAATAAAATTAAGGAAAAGGCAGAACTGAAAGGAGTAAAATCATGTATATACTTCTATGTCAATTAACAATCTGAGAGAAATTTCAGATTTTATGCCACTTATTGTTTTTCTGTGTAGATATGCAGTAATTTTTAAAATGAAATGATATTTATTTGGTATAGTATTACATAACATTAGTATTATATAAATCATAGTGAGGACACTCTAAATTAATATTTGAATTCCAGAATATGCAGATCAATATATAAAATATACAGAAATTCAAAGTATTATTTTAAAAAATGATACAAAAAGATTTGGTGAAAAGTTGGAATCTTTATTCTAATTGCATTAATTATTTTAAATCAAGACAAATAAAAGATTGAGATATCATTATTCTTACTTTCATAGCTTTCTATCTTTTAACAGAAACATTTACTTCAACTTATTGTTTGTTTAAGGAGCTACGTCTCAGTCCATTTTAAAGATTAAAAGATATTTGAGAACCAGTTTTAATTTATACAAAACTTATACATAAATATAGTTTTTTATATATCACTGTTAATTTCAATGCACAATTTCTCCTATTAACAACTTGCATAATGTAATGCTTTTATTTATGATTGAAGAAAGACTATCGAAATGTGTGTGGGTCACATTTCTCTTGTTGTTGAGAAAAATATCCAACACTCAAAATGAAGGAAAGAAAGGTTTAGTTAGCTTACAGTTTAGGAGGTTTCAGTCCATACTTCGCTGGTTCCAAGGCAGGGTAGTGTGGCTAAGGGGCAGCTGTTCATGGCAGCCACAAGCAACAAGAGCAAAAGGGATACAAAAAGGAAAAGAACACTCTCTTCCTTCCCGTATATTGTACACCAGCTACCGCCCCGGGTGGATGCAGCAGCACTCAGGCTACCAAGTCCAGAGCTACACAATGAACCAAGCACAAATGCTAGACTCAGCTGCCTCCATGAGCATGTGAAACTCAGGGGTCATCTAAATGCAAGCTGTAAGAAAGGTTATTATTAACAAACATCCTTTAGACTATGTTTTCCAGGTGTACAAATTTTTTAAAATAGATAAAATCATGTGTCCACCATAACAATATAAAAATAGAATAATTCTATTCACCTGGAAACATACTGTGTTCTATCTGTTCATCACTTCTTAACTCCTGAACCCTGAAGGGTCATTTTATTATTTTCATAATTGTACTTTTCCAGAATAATTCAATATGGAGTGATTTTTATTTAGACTGGTTTCTTCCACTTCATTATGCATTTAAGTCTCCTCTGTTTTTTGTTTTTTTTTTAAATACTGAGAGCTCATTATTTTTTTTAAATAATATCCCATCACATGAGGGCAACCTATTTCATTTGTCTAGTCACTTATTGAAAGGTAATTTCTATGCTATAAGCATCAATGTGCAGGTCTTTGTGAAGATGTAATTTAAAATTTATTTGAGCAAATGCCTAGTAATGATTCCAGGTTGAATTGTAGGCTTAGATTTAGCTTCATAAAAAACAGAAAAGTGTCTTCCACATTGTCTACACCATTTTGCAATGTCACTAAGAATGACTGAAGTTGTCTGTGCTTTGGATTTTAGCCATTGCACTGGTGTATCACAGCATGTTGTCTTACTGTTTTAATGTGCTGCTCATTGACATTATATGATGGTGAGTAATTTTACCAATCTGGGTTCCAATTTGCATGAATTCAGTTTTGTGTTGTATAATCAGGGGTTTTTTTCACTTTGCAATTTTGTTTCCAAATAGTTGAGTTTTCAGACACTTTATATTTTAAATATATTTTGCATATTTTTTCAAATAATCTGTTTTATAAATATATTCTTTTAAATGTGTGGCTTGTTTGCCTCAATATTTTAGCAGGCTATTTTTGGCAGTAATAGTTTATAACATAAACTATAATATAAAATGTTTTATATAAACTGTATGTTGTGTATTTTATGTATGTTTAAAGAGTGATTATCAAATATAAAATATCTAGATTTTCCTTATACTCCATTATAGAAGGTACATAGTTTTGTGTTTACATGTACATCTGTAATTCCTATTGTGGTATTTTTGTGAAAGGTATAAGATTCTCCAGTAAGTCCAACGCCAGTATTTGAAAACACTGTCATTTCCACATTGAATTGGCAACAATTCTTTGTCAAAGACAAGCTGATATTATTTGTATAACTTTATTTCTAAATTTTCAGTGTTTATACTCCATTATTTTTCTTAACACTATACTGATTTTATTATAATAGCTTCAGAATAAGTCTTAATACTGGGTATTGCTTATTTTCAACTCATAACAGACGTGTTCTGCTTTGTAGCATTACATGGAATATTCTAACTTTTCTGCCTATTAATTCAGTTTTTATCACAGAGAATCATTTGCTTTCCTTCCTCTACTTTTTGGCTAAGAACAAGTGTATATATTGCATTTATTTCCATAATTGCGTTATAGATTTTTAAAGCTTAGTGTCTGAATTTTGAATATCTGTATGCATTTATGTATGTTTTCATAACTATGTCTTAGCTTTCTCTGTAGACAGTAGTTCAGTTTTCTGAATTCAGTTTTCCTTAACAACTGGTCAATAGTCTAGCTAAATAACATATTTGGCAAACTCAACACTCGTATCTGGGAGTTGAGACAGGAGGATCATTGAGAATTTGAGACCAGCTGGGCTACACAGTAAGTCTGTCTCAAAACATCAAAATGAATAAATAAACAAGTAAATAAACAAAGAAAGCATTTTTGTAATCACCCAAAAATCTGCACTATTTAGACAGCCAACAATTCCAGCAGACCATAAGACGTGTAAGACAGAAAATAGATCTATTTTTTCCAAAACTTTGTATTCAAACTATAGAAAAATTCTTGACTTA